GAGCACCTGTCAAAGAAATGCTTGTAAAGATGAAGATTAATGAGGAACATGCAAGGCAGGTTGATACCTGTCTCTTTATGTCCTGCCACCATGATACATGGTATGTGGGACATTATGCTGTGATGCTGGTGTCTGTGACTCTGCAGACACATTCATGTGAAGGAGATAAGTGGTATAAATGCTTACACCACAGGTTCCACATGTAATGTCCACAAAACAATCTAAATGCCTCCTGTTGATAATTGATCAAAAGACATAAAGGCTGCTCTTTGGTCCTGTTCAGATCTGGCATTGACAGCCCATCACAAGTGAACAGCTCTTAGCACGTCAATTCACACCTGGCTTTAAAATGCATCTCCACATGCGTCTCTAGGATGTATTTGTGTCCAGATCACTTCTAAATGAGGTCTGAGTGATCGGATCGCAAATGCATCAATTCGTCTTGGGGTGTGTTCACGCTTGACTTTAGAGCTATCTCCTTGTGATTGGATCACCTGAGACGAATGTTAATGTCATGTCTGAACAGGGCCTTTTTTAAAATAAATCTGATTTGTTTAAATATTTGTTTGTTTTCCTAAATTGAATATCTTTTGGTTTTAAACTGTTGGTTTGACAATATACGCTGTTATGTAACGTCACTTTAAGCTGCAGTGTAAAGTTATTTAACTGTTAAACAATTAACTGAAAATAAGTGATGTAAATAATCAGCGGTGGCAGCCTCAACAACCTTTTTGCTATCAGCTGTACGATCTGTGAGTCAGTCGCTGCTGAACCATATTTCTCTCTCCCCCCTCAGATTGACCACATGGTGAAGGGCCACGCTGCCTACACCCAGCTCCAGGAACAGGCACAGCAGAGGTCAGCTGATGAGTTTAGTGTTGCACTTACCACAAACATCTCAGCACAGCTGTCATCCCCGTTCACTTGAGTAAGCGTCAGAAACATTAGAAGCTTAGTAAGGCCGTATATCCTGCACAACTCTATTCTATGGAAGTTGAACATAAGATAGATAATAGATCATTTTCATGACATTTATTTAAAATGAAACAAAGACGCTCTGGTATTGTCTATGCTCGCCCACTGACGTGGCGTAACACATGATCAGTCAGGCCTGTGCTTTTACTGTTATTACAAGTTATAATGTCTTCTGTGAAAAATGCATTTGAAACATTTTTGATATTATTTCATCAGTTTCCTCACTGTGCTTTTCCCCAGATTTGCCTTTACAGGCAAGAACATCTACAACTACCTGAACAGCCACCTGAGTTTAATGGCTGACTCCTGTTCCGCTGTCGACCTGCTGGGATCCAGTCTCCACGTGTGGCCGGACTTCCACGGGAACAGATCGCCGCTGGCTGATCCCACTCTGAAGGGCATGGTGAGGAGACTGGACTCGGGGCTTGAAATAACTGCTTTTATGACATAAAATGGTTATTGTTTAAAGAGGAGGAACAGTTGTAGTTAAGACACTTAGAGTTATATCTTATCATATATCAGCAATAATAAGTAAAGCAAAGAAATGATGTGAAGATTCAGATGAAAATTTTAATACCACTCTCATGTTGGCGCATTAGCACAGAGCTGGACATGGAATGCAATTAGCTGAACCTAGCTTAGCATAAAGACTGGAGGAAAGGGTAAACAGTTAGCTAAACTAATGAGATAACATGCTAATCAGTGAGCTTTAGAGCTACTGGTTGGGGAATTTCTGAATTTTTGGGGAGAGCCAGGTTAGCTGTGTTCCCAGGCTTCTACATGTTAAGCTAGTCATGTCCTGGCTCCAGCTCCAGACATGAGAGTGGTATTAATCTTTTCATCTAACCTGAAAATTACAGAAATAGTCAGTCACCATGTTCAAGTCAAGAAATGTTTAATGATTTTTTGAAACTAAATAAGTTCATAATACAGTTAGCTAGCAGCTACTTGAAGCAGCTAACTTCACATAGCACCACAGTCAGGCCTCTGGGTTTTCTAAACATTCAACAGTGACTCTTATTATTCAGCAATGAAACATTTTTGCTTGAATGATTCATCAACTGTTTTGCAGGTGATTGGACTTTCTCTCTCTCAAACCTTAGATGACCTGGCTCTGCTGTATTTGGCCACTGTACAAGCCCTCGCTGTAAGTGTGCTGTGTTTCATGTTTCACGTTAACTTCCTCTGAGCCTCAGTCCGACACCCACGTACCTTCAAGTACGAAGGCAGGCTGTATTTGTTTACTTGTAACTTAAGCCCCTTTCGTTTTCTTTCTCTGCTTTCAGCTTGGTACGCTTCATATTCTGGAGGCCATGAAAGAAGCAGGACATGACATCAGAACCCTCTTCCTGTGTGGGGGGCTGAGCAAAAACTCCCTGTTTGTACAGATTCACGCCAACGCTACAGGTACAAAACACCAATGATGGATAATGACAGTATCTTATATGTATACTATTTTTAAACAAAAATGCCGCTAATATTAGAATAATTTTACCATTACATAAAGACTGTGAAGTAAACTTAACACTGGTTAGACAGAATCTACCATGAAAGCTTCTGCCCATTCCTCTGTTTTAATATCATCTCTCTCAGGACTGCCCGTGGTGTTGCCAGACCAGATGGAGGCCGTGTTGGTAGGAGCAGCAGTCTTGGGTGCATGTGCATCACAGGAGTACAGCACTATACAGGTAGAGTGACACACACACACACACACACACACACACACACACAAACACAAAACTTGCCCTTAATGACCAGAAGCATCCTTGTGTGAAGTCAACCCAGGTCACGTTTTAATGAGCCTTTTAAATATTCACATGGGAATGGGAATTCTGTCCAACATGGGCCACTGTCTGTGATTCAAGGCAGTGAAAATGCATTAGAAATTTCTCAACCAGATAGCATCTTTCATTTGACCACCCCTGCCTTCTAAATTCCCACTGCTTTCAAACCCCACATTTCCAATTTGTCTCAAGCCAAATATGAAATAACATACATTTTTTAATTTAAGAAAGCTCCCTCCAGAACCACAGAAAATGTTGTACAGGCTGAGGAGTAGTCTTAGATGAACTTCATGGTTAAAATCAGTGGTGTGCCCCTTGAGGAGCATGTTTATTTTTCAGTGTATCTATCAGTTTGCAATCCAATCTTTTTATTCCAATGAAACTGACCTCACAGCACAGCTCTTGTAATCACTGAGCCGACGGCTCCATCTGCTGGGTGGAAAAATACAATGAATATAAATAAATAAAAAGTATACTGTGCACGGCTCCGCTTGCTTCTGCCACAGAGAAGAGCCGGATTTATGCACAATGTGTTTAAGATATAAAGTGTGGATTAATCTTTAGCTAGGTCAACTTATCATCCCCTTGGTGCCGCAGTGTCACAGCTTGCAGCACAAGAGAATGACAAGCCTTTAAGCCAGATATACTAAAAATAAGACGTTATTGTTTGGACTAGGCTGCACCTGTCAACCCGTTTTCAGCCATAACTGCAGCAGCCAGTTGTTGTGTCTGATCCTCTGAGCTGCACACAGTCAACTGGCTGGATTTTGTAGGTTTAGACAGCGGAGGGGCCCTGCACTGCATTAGTAATAAACTCAGACTCACTGTTACTGTTGCAGTTGCCCTGTGTTCATACTATAACTGGGTCAGGGCTGGCCCAAGACTGAGTGTGTGTGTGTGTGTGTGTAACATGATTTATTGAGTGATGTTTTTCTTGGAATTATGTTTTAGGAGGCAATGGAGAAAATGGCAAAAGTGGGGAAAGTTGTTCAGCCTGACCATGGACTCCGAAGGTGAAGCAGGAAGATTTTTGTTTTCTGTAATGTTTATGTTACTATCCATGGGACAGAAACATAAATGGATCCAAATCCACAATGTCAAATTGAAAAAAGCAATATCTCCATGTTTCTGTCCAAAAAAACTAATCTTTGCATAAGATAATTAATTTCTACCTTTTCCTTTATTTTTTATTTCTTTATTTTATAATTTCAAATTTGCAAAATGACCCATGTAGATGAAGATTGATTTACAAATATTTTTCTGTTAAATTATTCCATTCATCCAAGGTGAAACAAAATTTATAATATTACACTAATATTCTTTAAATCTGTCAATGAGAGAAATTAACTGTGATGTACGTGTTTTCATTACAATGAAAAATAGAATATACATCACTATGCATCAAATTTGTGTTATTATTTTTCTTATTTTCAGCTTCTATGAGAGAAAGAACAAGGTGTTCCTGCGACTGTTTGCCCACCAGAGGGAGTACCAGGCCCTCATGAACCAGAGATGACACTGATGGAGGGAGGGAGGCCTAGCTAAATCCACACACTGGAAACAAGAACAGAAAGAACCTGCTGCTTTTCTTTATATCGTCTCCTTTTTTTTCCTCAATAAACTGAAGGAAAACAGTCTTCTGAGGCTGGATGTCTATGAATGAAAATATGTCTGTATCTGGTGGCAGAGCTTAGACTTTGAGGTTTGCAGGATTTGAAACCACCCGGCTGAAGACGGTAGATAAGACCTCTGTGGAGACGAGCAGGTGGAGCTCTCTGTTGCGGTCTCTATTTTACATCCAGGTCTATTCAAGGTGGAGACGAGGCTCGCTCGGCTCCATCCAAGGTGACGTCTCCATCAACTACTGTCAGCTTCAAATGTATTTCTAATAACTAATAAAAAAAAAAAATGACCGAACTCTGCTCGTGCCTTTCACTGTCACTACAATCTGATGCGTTTGATATATAATTTAGTGTACTTCAACATCAATAGTGACACTCATTCATTTTTAAACACCTTGTCCTTTGTTCTCTCCTCACTGCATTTTATTTCCAGTGTGAAACGCGTCCACTGGCCTTAAAGTCTCCAGTCTGCTACTTATGGAGAGAAGCCTGTTGCCGGCAGTTCCCAGGATCAAAGTAGATAAGCTCCTCGCTGACGCTGTCGACCAGGTGAGGAGGAAGGGGTGAACAAACAGCTGCCGTCAAATAGAACTAACTGAGAACGCAGTGATAGGTTTTAGTCACTTGTTATGCTTTTATTGTCCCACACAGGTGAAATTCACACATCATACATTCAGTCATTAGAGTACAGGTTCAGTATATCCAAAGTTATTACAATCAGTTATTTGATAGTAGAAAATTCTCCCAACTATTAAGCCATGTAATCCATAATGTTGTGCATTTGGTTTGGGAAAGATCAGTTCCATGTATAACTATGTTCAGTGCAGTAATGACCTCATTCTGTGTGTAAATGGCAGCAGAAAACCACTTCCTCTTTGCACTGGTCCAGAAATAAAAGGGAGCACTGTGTCACCAACCTCACTTTTCACACCAGACAATGTCCCTGCTTAAAAATAGAAACTTTTGCCATATTCAGAATGTATGTTCCCATATCAAAGGGGGGGGGGGGGCATCAGGGGACCATTGAGAGCTGCTAGATGAAGGTGGAGTGTGTGCAATAGAGGTCACTGTTGTGCTTCTGGCTGGGGAGTGTAGCGCAGGTACTTCTTGCCAGAGGGCAGGTCTTTGGTGTAGACGCCATCTGGAAACAAAGAGGCGGCCTCCTCCTCAGACATGCTCGGAGGAACCATCACACAGTCCCCAGGCTGACGGGTGGGGAGAGACAGACACGGAAAAGAAAACAGGTTTATCTTTGTAGCCAGCTGCTGAAGTAATTGGTGCCAACACAGGTCACTAACAAAGGTGTGACACACTGTACCCTCCAGTCAGCGGGCGTAGCCACTTTTCTCCCTGCTGTGAGCTGGAGCGAATCCACCACCCGCAAGATCTCATCAAAATTGCGTCCTGTGGTGGCGGGGTAGAGCAGTGACAGTTTCAGCCTTTTGTCTGGGCCGATGATAAACACCTAACCACAATCAGAGAGAGAGAGAGATTGAGACTGAGAGGAGCTGATATCTCCTTCTCCACAGGCACAAACAGAGATAAGACACCAGTTTTCAAGGCTGTCTGTAAAATAAGCAAATTAAATTCTGCGTTGGGCAGAGAGTGTGATGGCGCTCACACAGCGGGCAGTGACTGGCATGCCGTCTTTGTCCTTCTCGTCTGGGTCCAGCATGCCCAGGGCCACTGCCAGCTCCCGTTGACTGTCCGCTATGATGGGAAAGGGCAGCGAGCAGCCGTCAAACTCCTCACAGTTGTAGGCCAGGATGTCCTAGTTAGCACAGACACACAAGTCCATTAGTTAGTTATTTAAACTAGTTGCAACACTGATGAAGCTCTGTCTCACATAAACAAATATATGAAGTGATATTTACAATAAAAGAAAAATATTTAGGTAAATTGCAGCACAAATTAAATAAATATTACGCCTGTAAAAAAAAAAAAAAATCCAAGATGACTGTGATATTTCTCACGAAGCCTGGTTTTGCAAGTATTTTAAATTTGCAGGTTACCACATATCAAGATATCACTGTTAGCATGAGGCTTTCTTTAGATGTCCATTTCAGTTCAGTGGTTCTCATTTTTTTCCACATCAAGGCCCCCTAACCTGACACAAACTGCAGCATGAACCCACATCTGATAAGATGTTTTCTTTGAGGTGTTTTATTACAGAAAGTGTTTGAAACCCATGACTAAAATAGTCACACATTCTGTCACTGTGTTACTTATAGATGGAATTATAGTGAAAATAAATTATTCCACTTTTTGCTGGGAACCCTCAGGAACCACATCAAGGACCCCTGGTCTAGTTAACATGAAATTATAATTTCGGCAGCATTACATTGCTGTGTGTAGTTAGAACCTGCAGTATACTAAAATACAGTCACCCGTGTCCTTTAACCTGCTGCTAAAACAAGGCTTGTGTGGAACTCGTCTAATTTCTTTAAAATGAGAAAAGTCACTGTCAATGCAGAGGAACAGCTGCTCAATCAGACTTTGATGCTCAGTATGTCATGAACCATCTACGGCCACAAAGCCAAGTTGGCCCGTTACAGACAGCCTGATGCCCTCTCTGTTTTACTGATGTCAGCTCTGCGTGTGGTTTCAGAAAACACGCTGTGGCCATCCCACCGTGGTCCAGCCGTGGTGATCCTCCAGGCAGTCGACGGACAGGGCGATCATCTTGACGCCGCGTTTACTGAACTCGCTGTGCAGCCTGGCAGCTCGACCCAGCTCTGTGGTGCACACGGGGGTGTAGTCTCTGGGGTGGGAGAACAAGACTGCCCATCTGAGTTGAAAGGGAGAGGTTGGTGAAGCTGATGTAGGATGTAGTTCGGGGTCAGATGCTGTCTAAGATTTCACAAATGGGTTTCAGTCTGACTCTGCTTCCTCTCGTCAGACGTACACCTCTTGATGATTTGGTAACTATTTTTACTTCTTGTTGGGTTGCACAATAAAAGCTGTCTGGTGTAGATAACAGGATGTGACCTCTGTGTCAATCAATTGTTGCAAAAATAATAAAGTCTATAAAAAAATAAAGGTATTAGGTTCGACCTCAGGCCTGGTCAGCACACTGATGCTTTTGATTTGGATCATCTCACTCTGATCCAGAGCCCTGTGGTCAGGTCATAAACAGCTGTGCACCTGATGTAAAACAGGGCAGATTAACCTGTCCATTTCTCCACCAAATTAAAAAGTCTTATATTCCTACTGGCCACTCATTTATCACTATAGGCTTATAGCTTTTGCTGACAGGCTATAGATAATTGGTAATGTGCAAATCAGAAGTCAGGAAGCTGTAACAGGAACTCTACTCACGCCAGCTCTCAAGTTCCCCCTCTCATGTTAACTGAATTCTCCAAAAGCCTAAGAATCTATAAATGATAATCATAATCAATATGGCTACTTACGAATCACCCAGAAACTCGTGGAGTTTAATTTTGCCAGTGGTGGTCTCTGCCTCGAAATCAGGAAATACATCTCCGAGCAGCAGTCCTGGCATATTCACTGTGACCGTGAAGGTTCAGCAGCTGCTCTGATGACAGACGGCATGAGAAGAAGAAGAGGCGGAAACTTCCCCCATGAGCAGACTACTCTGTCTACAAAGGACAGTATATGACAAACCAGACTCATTAACTGTGGTGCGTTCAGGGCGCGTTGGGTCGCAAGTGACCTTTTATTTTACGCACGCCCCAGTTTCCCGATAAGAATGTAGATATTTTTGTTCAAGTGCAACACTGAAACACTTCATGATAACATTTATAGAGTCAGTGCATTTGGTTGAGAAGTTACGACCACAAAATGTAAACCTCAATACTCTTTTAATTGCATGTTAATGGGGAGGATGGTGTAGCCACGTGACCAGAGCAGTCCAGTTCTGAACCGGACTGTGCAGTTTGCAGGATGTTTTGCATCTGAGCGCAGCAGGATTAAAGTGTTGACTGGGGGTCCATAAAGAAGGGCGGGTAGATTACAGAGGACACTGACAAACGAAAATGTCCTCACCAGCGTCCAGACGGAATAGCTGCCGTGGAACTGCGTGTGGGAGCCGCTCATCATCTGAGTGCCATGTCCGCCGCCGGGGCTCCAGCTGCTCTTACTCTTCCTCTGGCGCTCAAACCGAAGACTTTTCCGCCAGTCTGAGTCAGCCCATGTTCACCATAACGCTCCGGTTTTTGCTGGCGATAGATCTGTGGCTGTCCAAGCGGCTCGGGGTGTGCGCTTGTGAGGAGTCTCCGTGGGGCAGCATACGGCCCCTGGTGCGGCTGGTGGAGTTCTCCGGGCATGTCATCCCGTGGCTCGTCGGCACTCTGTACACTCTGCTCCGGGGAGAGACGGTGGCGGAGCAGGAGATCATGCTGAATCTGGCCCTGGGTAAAAATGTGTGTCTCCTGTTTTGAATTTGAGTCAGGTGTGACCCTCAGTAGATAAATGGAGGACAGACTCAATAGTGGTAGTATCCGCCTCTTAGAACTGCTATCTGTGACCAACAGATAACCCTTCCCTTTATTTAACATCCACATTTAGGCTTTAGGCTTTTAGGCATCTTTGCTTTGTCCTGCACGTGGAACGTCAGCTTGAAACTCTTTAAACTTCGAAGAAACATGATTTTTGTGACATCAACTTTCCTGAATACAACACTCTCAGAATAATGTATCATCCTGATGTCATTCAGGTGTCTGTTGTTTACGCACCTTTATTTATCACCACATTAGCTGCGCGTAAAGCCGATGCGTTATTACGCACACTTTTGCCAATTCCAAAGTGAAGCCTCTGTGGCTCTGTAGAGCTGAATGATGTAAATATTCAAATAGCTCAACACAGCAGGCCAAAGCCTCGTCAGTCCACCCAAGTGTCAAATAATGCATTAGTGTAGAGCTGCAGGCTGTTTGCACGTCCCCGTGACCGAGACACAGCCATGGCACGTTTTCTCTTTTGAGCTGCAGCTGACTGCATCTGTGGCCACTGAGAGACATGCATGAGACACGCATGTTGCTGTATTTGCACATATGGATTATAGTTGCTGACTGACAGCTTTGAGGTCAAACCCTGTGCTCCGGTGGAGTCCCTGAGCTGTTCTTCGCTACAGTCTCTAAGATGACACGATAATTTGGAAATATTGCGGCTTGTTTTCTCTTCCTGTAGACCAATCAGAAACTAATGAGTTTTTTTTCAGTTCATTTTATAGGACACAATATTATTAAAAGGTAAAAGATCCTTTGAAACCGCTTTCTGATATCTCACACTTTATGGATGTCCAATTGTGGTAACTAATGATTAATATTAATGGTAAAATAATTTATTGGCCCTTTATAGATCAGCGAAGACATTAATGAGTACAGCTCTGGGGTTGCTAGGTTGTGATCATTCTTTGGTAAAACATTGACTTCGTCCTTTTGCTCTCTCAGTTGGATGGACTTCTGGAAGAAAACATATATTCATTACTTCTCAACACAACTGCAGATTTAAAGACCTATTACCAAGCTAGAAACTCAAACATTTATTGACAGATTACTAACATTTATTACTACATTATTATTAACTATAGTAGAAAGGATGGATACCACACAGACATTTTCCACAAAAATATGTTCTGATTAATAGGCTATATCAGTTATTATTTATAAAGAATCAGGGAGGGATTTATTGAGCATTAATACAGTAAATAGTTAACACTTGTAAGCCCTTTATAAAGAATACACTGACTGTGCTCAATTAAGAATTAGAACAGTAAAAACAGAACCATAGCTTGAAGGGCCTTGGCATAAGTGAACAGACAAAACAGAGAGGATGAAGTGACACTAGACACTATATTCCTGTAGAAAGCCGCTGCAGTTAGGGGAAAACTGACCTCAGAGTTGCTTTGTGAATAAAAATGTTTTCAGCCATGCAAACTGAAACCAGTGTTGTTTCTCTGTTTCTCCTGACAGCTCTGTTGTTGGATCTGCTGCTGGTCAGAGTTGTGAAGACTCTGGTCAGACGTCGCAGGCCTGCCCAGAGCCGCTCTGACATCCTCTCCACATTCTTCGTGGAGCGCTACTCCTTCCCTTCAGGCCACGCCACGCGGGCGGCCATGTGTGCCCGGTTCCTCCTAGCCCAGCTGGTGGACACAGCCTCCATGCGGGTCCTGGTGGTGGGATGGGCCGCTCTGGTGAGCCTGTCCCGGCTGCTGCTTGCCAGACACTATGTGACAGATGTGGGCTTTGGCTTGGTTATGGGTTACTGCCAGTACGGCTTGGTGGAAAGGCTGTGGTTGACCTGGGACTGCCTCCAGGACATGATGCTTATGCGACTGCGAGAGAGACTCAACAGGGCCTATGGTGGACTCTGGATGGCAGATTGGAAGCATTAGGTTTGGTGGTACGGTGTGTCAGCTTTTATGGACGGGGAAAAACATGTAGCATGAAGTGTGTGTAACTCCAAGTTTCCCTACCATTAAAAAGTGAACTTTATTTATTTGTGTATTGAATCTTTATGCATTGGAATTGACGGCCTGGGCAGTCACTGGCGAGTTGTAGCTTCTCCCTTCAAGATGCACTTGTTTGCACAATAATGATGCATGGACTTAATCTCACAACGCTGAAACCAAAGCTGAATTTAATTAGAGCCTTTTTTAATAAAAAATAAGTAAGCTGTGCACCATTTCCAGATGTGCTCACTGAGACAGTGTATGAGTTGGTTGATGAGTATGAAAGCTTCAACTACTGTATGAAAGTGACTGGCACAGTCCTCCCGCCGTGGGTGGCACATTGTCACAAAAGTAGTGTGTGGTTTTGTGTGCTGCAACACCACACTGGGTTCTCGCTATTTGTGTGACCGCTGGTGGGGATGAAGTCAACTCACACTCACCCAAGTTTCCATCAGCTGCTGCTGAGTCTCCTGACAGTCATTATACTGTAATACATCCCATCTCCTCTTACACTGTTGATAAACTGTGCTGTCACCACCCCCTTTTTTAACATACCATTGTAATTTTGAAAATAAACTTCACAAACACGTGGAGTGTTTATGTGGATTCGGCCTAAAACTGTTAAAGAGCCTGGAGAGCAGATAAGTCATTTCGTTTTGCCTGTGCATGACTGATCTAGAACAGCTGGAAGGTGTGCATGTAAAATGCAGATGCAGCCAGTTTTCCACTGCAGGGCAGTGCAAAATGTTAGTATGGCTGCAAGTAGCAGCATAGGGTTCGTACAGATCTTATCCATCTATCTGCCACAATACAGATGAGGGGTGAGTGTGTATGTGTGTGAAATTTCTTACATGAGCAAAAGTCCAACAATAATATCGGTTTGCAAGGAGAGCTAGCAACTCCCAAACCTCTAAACTGCTAACAAAGCTCTGGCCTCAGCTAAAATTAGCATGTTGTGGCGCTGCTCCTGTTAGTTTCTTTCTACATTGAGTTTGCCTTTGTGAATCAATAATAATAATTATCCATTGTTACTGAGAGATACTAAAATCAGGTCAACAACGATGGAGTGTGCATGGTTGGACTAGGAAAGAAATTCACCCCTAGACTTATCTGCTGTGACAGGCCAACACTGCGAATGAGAGGCACACAGAGAAGGCTAGGAAAGAGACTGGTGGGGGCCAGTGAAAACTTGCTGTAGTTTTGACGGTCCACTGTCTCACTGTCCAGTCCTGATGGCCAGTCAGACTATGGAGGAGATGCCTCAGAGACTTGCAAAGCATGAAGACGGATGCGGCAGTTGTTCTGCTTGACAGGTGGGTAACATTATTATTTCTGTTTTACAGAGACATTAGGTCAGTATTATTTTGTCCTGTTTGTTTATGTTTGTAACAGTTAACCCAAACTGGTTGGGCAAGCAGGTGCTGGTAACATGTTTGTGTCTCCGGTAAGGAACACACAAATGATCTACACATGTAACGGACATGCTTGCCTTTTAGTTTTCCATGATATGCTGTCAGTGTGATGTTAGCTATAACAGCAGGAGAGGTGTGAGTATCGACATCTGCTACTGGTGTGCTGGCCACAGGAAACTGTCTTGTCTCTGCATGTTAGCTTTGCAGTGGCAACTGTAGCTACAGTTTGCTCCATATCATGGTATTTGTCCACATAATGATCAAAGGGTTGTATTGCCACAAAGATCTAAAAACAAGTTTGCTAGCACAGTGGATTTATTTTGTTAGATACCTAATCTAAAATGCTAAACCAGTTAACATTACCTTCCTTGTTAGCTTACCTACAAACCTACAGTCCTCTCTTTTGTCATTTCGTTTTGTGACAACCATCTAAATAACTGACTCTACCTAGTTTTACTCCAGTGCGTTTTGGCTGATGTGTTTGTGTGCATGCTGTAGAAGGCCTCTGGATTCTGCCATTGTGTCGTTGCCTTGGCAATAAGTGTTGGTGAATTTGAGGGGGTGGAGTTTCTGGAGGAGCACTGAAGGGAGAGGTGTGTTTGTTTTGCTGTTGCGTTCAGAATTGCTTGCTCCACCATTAATAACTGCAGTTAATTTTATCATGATAGTGCACTGCTTATCTCATTCTATTGCAGTTTCAATTTCAATATCATTATCAATCATTTCCAAATCTGTCTGCTTGTAATGTTACCTGTCCTACCACTAGGTGTTGCTGTGCACATCCACAGGTATGGGCAGCTGTATGTATTGCTGTATGCCTGATCTTTAGCATGCAATTCCTCTTCATACTCATGATACTGTAATGTTTTGGGATGTACTTAGCAGTGTGTGTGTGTGTGTGTGTGTGTGTGTGTGTGTGTGTGTGTGTGTGTGAGATTACGTGAATTATGACAGGGAAAGCTTCAAGTTTTGATAATGCGTAAACAATATTGCATCTTAACACGATCAAACTCTCCTTCTTAACGTGTATTAGTGACAAAATGTTAAAGCTGTTATTTGCACAAATGGTGCCCCATATTACAGCATCATGGCTCAGCACATTAAAGCTTAAATTGCTGCAGTGGTGACCGGGTAACAAACAAAAAAGCGTTTCTGAAGCTGTGATTTTGGAGTTGAAACAATGACAACAGTGTTTTGTTTTTTAAAAGTTTTTATTGAGAACTTACAGAACAAAAACATTTATTGACAGACATCAAAACTATTTACCATTATTACTTTTTGTAATAATAACCGAGATCATCAGAGTTCTATCACAGCTACATGAATATTCCTGTGTTGTCATAATACATCTTATTTACAATAGTAATAGACAAAATAGATTTTAATGATGCAAAAACACATAGATTAGCATTGAAATAACCTCAATACACTTTAAATGACTATATGTTTTATCCCATTCACTTGCTCTTGCATTAGCACAGTCCAGTAAACAGCAGTCTCTCTCTGTCTGTGTCCTCTTTAGCTGCTGCCATGGCTGGCCCTGCCCTGTCTGATGTCATAGGTGACCATGTGGAAGTTGTCCCAAGCATACAGCTTCCTCTGGGCGTGGTTGTAGTCCAACATGCTGTTGTAACGGTACTTGTTCTTGAAGGGCACGGCCACTGCCCGCCCCACGCCGGTAGCTGTGTCAAACACAAAGTTGATGGTGGTGTTGGGTGCGGTGTAGCTGGCCACTGTGTACAGACGTCCACACACCATGAAAGCATTGGCCACTGTGTTCTTCCTGATGTTGGTCTCCCAGCTCTTCTTCACTTCCAGGCTCTCGGGGTCCAGTTGTGAAATCACAATGGCACCTTTTGCCTTGCTTGTGCTGTAGATAGCCCACAAACCTTGTTCATCCACTGCCAGGTCGATGTCGGTGTAGCCTCCCCAGGAGTAAGGGTGCTGGCCATGGAAGCCAGCGTGAGGCAGGTCCAGACGTGATGCCAGGCTCTCAGAGGCCAGGTCGTAGCGGATCAGGGTACGGCTGCGTTTGCGCTGGTAGTACATGGAGCCACGGTACATGGTTGCCCCTGTGCTTTCCACAGGCTCCGGCAGAACCAGGACCTTCATAGGGAAGCCTCGGGAGAACTGTTCCATGTCTTCGTATGCAAAGAGCTGACGGACGTCTTTGCCCACTGCGTCGATACGCCACACAGTCTTGTTGGTGTAAAGAGGGCCCTGAGGCTCGGGATCTTGCAGCCACACTCCATATTTACCTGTGATGCTGTCAGCCTTCCTGTGCAACACAGGGTCTCCCACTGACAGCAGCTCTCCACAGCCTGAGGAGAAAACATCATGGTACGCGTTATACATTTTCAATGCTTTAAAATGCATTAAACTGCATCAATATCCCATCACGAGGGCAGCAGAAAACCAATGTTTACCCGTGAAGTTGTGATTTCCTTCAGGAATGAGGTGGGATGCTGGAACCTCTGTCACCTCAGCCTTCATCTCCTGGTACGCCCCATTCCCAAAATCATACGCAGGGTCTTGGAGAGACACAATAAAGGAGAAAGTTATGTAAAGAAAATATTACACTAAAGTTCAGATTGGGAAGGAATTTTGAGAAGAACATGACAGAAAAAAAAAACTTTTAGTAGTAAGCCACAGATAAACCAGAGTCAGTCCCAACACACAGACAACATCAAAGTGTAAGTGTCTCATATGTTTGCCTCAGAGCACAGCGGGCTCCCCCTGTAACCCTGCTATTGCTCTCCTGAAAATGATCACACACACGTAAACAGTCACGCATGAGTGACAAAGCCATAAAAGAAGAGTCTGTTGTAAATTCCTATCCCCTTACTCAACCTGGCTAACTGCAACCTGATCTGTTGCCCTGGGATACTTTTCACAGCCCGAGTCAGCCACAACTACATTTATCAAACAAACAAACAAACAAACCAACAAACAAAAAACTCTGAATATACAGAAAGAAATGTGGAAAAGAAAGAAATTGGGATTTGTTTTGATGTACAGTACATACCACTGGCAGGTCTGCTCTCACGCTGAGCCCCCCCTGAGGTGTGTGTTTGCTTGCAGGGCTGCTGCCTGAGGCTCTCTGCCTCCTGGCTCAGCTCGCCCAGCCTCCTCTGCAGCTCCTGGATCTGCCTGCTCAGACGCTCCTTGTCCTGTTGGAGCTGGTTTCTTTCCCCAGTAACCTGGGCATAAGCTTCCTGGAGACCCTCTTCACCATTAGACTCAATCGCAGTCCCGCCAGTGCCTCCATCCACTCCTGCTATGAGCCGGCTGACCAAAGCCTCCAGCAGGGTGAGCCGGGACAAGACTCCGTCCATTTCGGGTTTCACGCCGCTTCCAGGGCAGCTGGACTCCTGTGGACTGGCCACGGTGAAGGTGTAGTGGCAGCGTCCAGTAGGGTCATTGGAGCGGTGGAGGGAGGCTCGGTCTTCAGCCTGGCTCTGGCGTGACAGAATTAAGCAGGACAGACACAGGAGAGACACTTGGAGCCACATTGTGGAGGGGGCAGACGGAGTCACTGACCTTCTAGTTTAGGAGTATTTGCAGAGATTCAATTATTTATCTTCCTCTTCTTCTCTTTAGAGGATAGACCCTTTTTAACTGTCTTTAACTAGGCTCTTCCTACCTGAGTATCCCTGGTCAGTGCAGGTCAGTGTCTGAATCCCAGCAATGCTCAGAGTAGGATATTTATACAGTTAACTGTCAGGGAGTGGGAGGGGACGAGGAGTGTGGCAGGGAATGAAATAGCCAGGGGGGTGTGGAGTGTGTGTGTGTGTGTGTGTGTGTGTGTGTAAAGGTCCACGTGTTTCTTCTTTTTGCTGGTGGTTGGGTGAGGTGTGCTGAAAGGGACAAACAATGTGAAACTCATCCAGTACCAGTGGAAAAATACACAATTTGATGTTTGTTTTTTCCTGCATGGAAAAAGTTATGTCGGTATGTCTCTGCAGGTTGTTTTGACTGGACAGCATCTCTTTATGGCTTTCGGCTGTGGCGCTGTTTACTTCCTCCGTGACTGATAGTTTTACTATTAAACCACCTTGTGATTAACAGTTTATGACCTGGGTAGGAGAATTCGGGAATCTGAAGCCGACATTCACCAACGCTCAACAGCAAGGCGGCCTTAGTGCAAGCTGGTGCTGTTCTCCTCCCTCACAGCTGGACAGGATGTCTGGCACAGGAGGATAGGCTGGCTGTCTGGCAAGAAACGGAGTGGTGGCGGAGTTGCTCTTCTTCTCTTCCCATGAAGCCCCATAAATTCCCAAAAACTCTACGTGCCAGTAAATCAACAAGACTAATGGCTCTTTGAGTCTACGCTCCGGCATAGTGGTGCTTTGAAGAGCTGATCAGGTATAATGTTTACCATGTTCACCATCTTAGCATAGCATGCTAACATTAGCCAAAAAAAAAAGTTATTTCGATTCATCCTGAGGGAGACGTGAATGTCTGTACCAAAGTTAATGGCAATCTATCCTACATTTTTACTTTGGGTTAGGTGATCACCAAAGTTATTTTGATGGGGAACCAATCACCAAAGTTATTTTGATGGGGAACCATGGGAACCGTGAATGTCTGAACAGAATTTAGTGCCATCCCTGGCTTTCTGAACCCACTGAGGCATGGGGCCCACCTGTGTTTCAGCTGTCTACACGTGATGTGACTGGGACTTGTTCTGGTTCTGTGTTGAACAGAGAGAGGAAATACCAAATATATCACCACTGGAGTCCAGCACAAGTGAACCCCTTGTAAGTGTGCAAAAAAAACATTATTCTGGTCTCTCAGGGGATAAAGGCCATTAGTCGTAGATATATATTGGTAGCACTTCCTCTCGTTTCCTCCACAGCTCTTCACCACTGTCCTTTTCATTTGTCTTTAGTCTTAATCAACATGCTGAGTTTCTCCACACTGACTGACACAAAAATATTTCATAAATACCAGCAGCAATGAACCAGTTTCCCCCCAAAAGCAGCTTGCAGTGCACATCTGTGTTTGGTTCCACAAGATCTATCTGCTGCCTAGTTAACCTGTCTGTTTTATGGCCCATGGAAAGTCACCAGTATTCCACAATGTTTTTACCACTGAGGTGCGTTTCTCTTATGTAACATAACGACTCAGGGAACTTGTAAAAGTTAGCCCCAGCTCCTCTGTCGGTCCCTAAGAAAACAGGAGATGACAATGTGCACACAAACTTTTCCATAGGCAGTCTCGCTATATGCAGAAGTAGCTCTACTGGGAACCAGGACCTCAGTGTTTGTCTGCTGAAACACTCAACTCAACTAAGAGTACATTTTTAAATGACGATGATAAATGATGTTCTTGCAGGATGTGACAGTGGCCGCACTGACTTCTCTCAGGTTCGTGAGATACCAGGCTTTCATGTACTCAAGCTACGTTCATGTACAGTGCATTTTATTTTTGCTCTAACCCTTAAATATCCAGTCTACATATTTACCACTACACTGTCTATTGTCACCATTCAATCAAATGGAAATGCTTTGTGCATCATTTTATACACCTTTTCCCAAATTTGAGCCAGACACCAATTATGTCTTTGTAGTAAAACTGTGTGGGTTTAAAAAGCAATGACTGGCTGCACCACTTGGGGGCAGGAGAAGTAGGTTGGGAACAAAACATTGACACATCGTCGCCGTTTTAAGCTAATATTGCAAACTTGTTAGCAAACCGGTTCATCGTTTAAACACGAGGCACTTCCGGTGCGACTTTATCATGTATTGAGAGTCGCGCCTCTGGTCGCCGGATGAGTGTAAGTACAATGTCCTCTCTCTTTATGCTCTGTGTTGGGTTTCTACCAGGGGAAAGTGTCTTTATCTTCTGCGCCATAGTGTTCACCTGCTAGTTGCTAATTATCTCTCTGTTGTGTGATGCTGAGCAGGTAGTGCACAGTTTGTATTTGGGGCTTTTTCGTTGAAAACAACTTCCTGCTGCGACAGAAAACAAACGCTGTTAGAGTTGTGAGGCTGAACCAAAACAGAAGTTGTGCGCCGGACAGTTGAACAATGAGCTGAAACTCGGTATAAAACACATTAAAGCCGAAGGCAGCTGCAGCTTCAGGTGGTCAGGAGTCTGGAAACAGGGGGAGGCAGCTCACCTGGTTTTGTCAAAGGTTAAAAAATCAACTTACCGGCGCCTGTAAAGCTCATTATTAAACACATATTTAATTTGTTAAAAGTGTGACGTGTGAAAATGACAATTCAGCCTCAAACGTTTTGTTATGTGTGACACTAGTAGCAGCTACACATACAGTACTACACAGCAAAATAATCCAGTTTCACCAGTTAGTTAATAAAAATTATAAATAGATCAATAACAAATGAGTGATATCATCTGATGGAGAAAAATAGTAGACATCACAGTTATTTTGGCAGGTTTTTTAAAATTAGTCTTTAAAAATACAGTCCCAGAATTCTTGGCAGTGCAGGATTTCCACTGTGTAATCCTGAAGGGACATTTCACTGCCGCATGTTTGAATATGAATTTCATAATGTTACGCAACAGGAAACAGAGGGATGGCTCATGGGAGTATTGGCATCACCGAGTCAAAAACAAAACAGATGAGAGGAACAGTGTGATTGCTGAATCAGAGTAGACACGTGGAAAATGAAGCGCTCAACCATCAGTGTTGTTTACACAGCAGCTACCACACCTGTTATTGAGAACAAGAAGAGGAAAGTGGGCTTGTTAGAAAATCAAATGATGCGCCAGTTGTCTCAACCTGGGTCATTTAAGACAATGACAGCATCATTTATAGACATTTCAGTGGCGATGAAGAGCAAATTTGAGCAACTCCCACACAGAACAATCATTGGCTCACCAGACGTGCATTTACAAGTGTGAAGTCTTGGATAACAGGCATTTATGTGGGTGCTAGTCTGGCTTTTAGATCTACCATGTCACGCACACATGAAGCAAACAGTCACCAGAGCAGCACTGAGCGCTCAGCGGTTTTAACACCCTCAAACACAACCTCGCACCTCACGGTACAGGTGACATTTTAACAAGATGCTTCAGTGCTCAGACTGGAAGTACAGAGCACGAGCCTGAACTGTTCTCTCTGAATGTCACTATTTGTTCAGTTTTTTAAGAGAGAGAGAGAGTGAGACCATCTCGACACCTTTTGAATATGTTGTGATGTAAGCTGCCGAAGCTCAAATGAGTCATGGCGTTTCATTCACAGGGAGCATTTATGAACATAGTTGTGTAGTTTAGCGCTCAGTGAATGGGCCCACAAAGGGTCAGTGTATTGTGTGTTTTGAGAAAAGCATTAGACGTGGCTTGCTGTCTGTATGTCTGTCTGCTGTGACCGTGAGGGTATAATCACAGTAGATAACACGCCCACACACAACTGTGCAGCAGCACGGTAGGTGTTGTTTGGCCTTTGACAGGTCAGTACAGGTGTTGCACCAGAAGTTCTCATTACTGATGCAGACAGACTGGCATGGCTCCACGGTGTCCTTTGTGAAAACACAGACAGTCACACCATCACATACAAACAGATCAGATCCAGCTGATATAACACTGTCTGCACTTGGTGTCAGGTGGTGTCGGTTTTCTCTGGAAGCCTCACAGGAAGTGATATGGTGTGAAAAGCTCTCACGTAATGACACAACCATTACTTCCTTTATGTGATGTTTTTTCCAGAATTTTGAGACGTAGATGTCATTTAAAGAATTTCTAACCAGGTTATTGACACATTATTATTTAAAGTGGAGTAGTTTTGAAGTTATTTTTTGGCTTTATTATGATAGAGACAGTGAGAGAGAGACAGGAAAATTCGGGGGGAGGGAGAGGGGATGACATGCAGCAAAGGCCTGAGTCAAATTCGAACCCAGGCCTCTGTGGTAAAGACTGAGCCTAAATGATTTGTGCTCTACCAGATGAGCTGCTGGGGCGCTCATATTCAAACATCTGGAGGGGATCTTTAAAGACAGAGTTTTGGGAAATACGCTTATTCACTTTCTTGATGAAAGTTAAAGGGGAAGATTGATACTGCTATTCTCATACCTGTCTGTTAGAGCAAGAACACCGTTAGCTTATGTTAGCATGGCATAAAGGCTCAAAACCCACAGAGAGCACAGACTAGCAAAACTAACAAACCATAGCCATGCTAGCACGTGGCTGTGTTTTGTACAAAAATGTCTTTTTCTAATAATAATATCGAAACAATATTCAAAATATGACAAACATATTGCAGCCTAATTGATGCCCACCTTTAGAAGTCTTACATTTCAGATTCAGGTTTTGCCATGTAAACTGTCCATAACTGCAAATTGAAATTGTTAACTTAAAAACAAGTAATGAAAACACATGAATTCTCTCGAGAAATCTCTCAAATGTAAAAAAAAAAAAAAAAAAATGTATACACTCACACGAAGGGGTTTTTCAGACTATTCGACAAAGCAGTATTTGGAAAATTGAAATGGAAATACTTTTTTACCATTTGAGTCGTGGCCCCTGCCGTATCAGGCCCCAGGGAGCCAGTTCAAACCGAGAGGCAGGCTGCTGGAAATCTGTCGTCACGTTTAATTGGAATGATATCACAGAAACACAGACAGATCACTATTGTGTGTTTTGTCGACTTTTCTAAAAAAAAAACAAAACAAAAAAAAAACGCTTCTATGTTGTGC